TTCTACCATATCAAGGAGAAAATTATGTTAGCGGCTAGAAACCCGCCACCGCTCCCACAGTCTCATGCGAATCTACACTTATATGCTGACCTATCCAAAGCCACACTTTCAAATAGGAAAAAAATGATATCAAATCACTAAAGCCTTAAGAAATCATGGCATTGCCTATCAAGGGGGTTTCCCCACTAAGCTATTAGTACGGAACCAAGGTAGGACCTATACTATAAGGAACCTAGAGGCCGGCCTAGACCGTAAAGCTTGGAGCATTTTGCCCGCTGACTCACGGGATAATACGCCCAGTTCCATCCAAAATATGGAGGCGACCTGAAGGGCGCAAAGGCACACGCTGCACCTATACTCTACTATACCTTCCCCCGGAGGCCATCTACAGATTTTACAACTTCTGGCGATCGGCCTACACTCAATGTTTTCTGTTTTGCAAGTTTGCTGCAGACATGACCCCCCTGGAGGTCAGAACTTGTTCATATCTCTCCTTTTTGACGTAGCGATCATAGCTACATTGGTTACTTGCGTTACATGCAAGTGTTTTTTTTACTGTTGTTTCTCCCTCTCCCATCTTCCTTTTCTCGTGGCACCACCGACTATACATTAGTTACACAAGATTTGAAATAAAGGACTTTATTTGGAATACGCTAACTACAGTTCATATCGAGCCTTACCTGTTCTTTAGTCATTTAGTCTCCCCCCTCCTCCACTCAGTACCTCACTTACCGCCCACGAGATTGCCACTCATCTCCACAACAAGATTGACGCAATCCGCAAGGACATAGTCAACTTGCAATCTACCTCCCCATCTAGCCTCCCCCCCTTCCATCACCCCCTCATCTCTCCCCTCCTCTGACCTCGCAACGGCACTGCCCCCCACCACACCCAAGGCCCTGCCTACCGTAACCCCCCCATCACTGCACTCCTTCAGCCCTAGTACCACTGAGGAAGTCACCAGAGTCTTCTCAGAAGCCCGCCTCACTACCTGCCCCCTGGACCCTATCCCCTCTCAACTCCTCCGGTCACCCCCCTCTTCCCTCATCCGCTCCCTTACCCACATCTTCAATCTCTCCCTCTCTACTGGCGTCTGCCCCTCCCCCCAAAACATGCGCACATCACCCCCATACTCAAAAAGCCCTCCCTGGACCCCACTGACCTCAACAACCTCAGACCAATTTCCCTGCTGCCACTCACTTCCAAGCTCCTTGACGCTTGGTCTTCGATCGCCTAAGCGCCCCACCTAACTGACAGCAACCTCCTTGACCCACTACAGTCCGGCTTCCGTCCCCTACACTCCACCGAAACTGCCCTCCTCAAAATCACCAACGATCTACTAACCGCCAAAGCCAAAGGCGACTACTCTGTCCTCCTCCTCCTAGACCTCTCCGCGGCCTTTGACACAGTCGACCATCCCCTCCTCCTTAATAAACTACTCTCCCTTGGCATCAGAGACACCGCTCTCTCTTGGTTCTCGTCCTATCTATCCCAACGCTCCTTCAGCGTTTCCTACAACGATGCCACCTCCTCTTCCCTCCCCCTCTCTGTTGGGGTCCCCCAGGGCTCTGTCCTTGGACCCCTTCTCTTCTCCATCTACACCTCCTCCCTTGGCAAACTCATACACTCCCACGGCTTCAATTACCACCTCTACGCTGATGATACTCAAATCTACCTATCCACCCCTCACCTCACCCCCACATTCTCCGCCCGCATCACTCACCTCCTAAACGACATCTCTGACTGGATGTCGCTCCATTTCCTCAAGCTCAACCTCTCCAAAACTGAGCTTCTCGTCTTCCCCCCCCCAGCCCGCGCCCCCCCCCCCATCCTTTCCATTACTACCAACAACACCACCATCAATCCCGCCCAGCAAGCCAGGGTCCTTGGCGTCATTCTGGACTCAAACCTTTCCTTTCAACCTCATATCAAATCACTTACAAACACATGCAGGCTCCACCTCCGGAACATCGCCAAGATACGCTCCTTCCTTACCCCAGACACCACTAAACTACTCGTACACTCCCTGATTATCTCATGCCTTGACTACTGCAACTCCCTCCTCCCCGGCCTACCCCAGTGCAAACTCTCCCCGCTTCAGACCATCCTGAACTCAGCTGCCAGACTCATCCACCTCACCAGCCGCTCCACCTCTTCCACCCCCCTCTGCCTCTCCCTCCACTGGCTCCCCATTGCCCAACGCATTAAATTCAAATTGCTCACCCTGACCTATAAGGCCATTCACAACACTGCCCCTAACTACCTCACCGACCTGATTCCCAGGTACCACCCTACCCGTACCCTTCGCTCTTCACAGGACCTCCTTCTATCTTGCTCCCTGGTCTCCTCCTCCCACGCACGACTGCAAGACTTCTCCAGGTCCTCCCCCATCCTCTGGAACTCACTACCCCAATCCATCAGACTGTCACCTTCCCTCCTCACCTTCAGGCGCTCCCTGAAAACCCACCTCTTCAGGGAAGCCTACCCCACCCTCACCTAACAGCCGCTGCCCTTCCCTCCTCCTACCACTCCATCCCCCACACAGCCGATTCCTCCTGTGCCTCTACCCCTTCCCTCCTAGATTGTAAGCTCGAAAGAGTAGGGCCCTCTTACCCCTTGTGTGCTGTTTGATGTTACTGTTCTGTTTCATGTATTGTCCCCCCCTCTATTGTACAGCGCTGAGCAAACCCTTTGGCGCTATATAAACTCGATAAATAAATAATAAATAAATAAATAATTTTTACCGCTACTCTCCCCGAAGTGAAATCTCACACGCTTAAATACTACCAAACAACAACCCAACTAGTTCTATACTCAGGAAATATATCCAATGATCACTATCACTTCTCTTAATGCTCGAGGCCTCAACTCCCCCTTCAAGAGATCGATGCTCTCCAGAGAAATCCGGAAATCTCGAACTGACTTATTCTTTATACAAGAATCCCACTTCACTACGGAAAAGACCCCTAAACTATATCTTAACCGCTTCTCTCAATTATTTATGGCGACTAACACCAAGAAGAAAAACGGAGTAATTATTGCCGTTAATGACTCGCTAACATTTAAACACACCTCTTCCATAGTCGACCCGCATGGCCGATATATTATATTGATATGCCAAATTAATGACATTACCTATACCCTGGTGAATGTATATGGTCCGAACAGCAAACAACTAAGATTTTTTCGCAAACTCTTCAATCTCATCGCTAAGCACAAACAAGGTAGACTCATTATTGGGGGGGACCTTAATGTTCTCAATAACTCACTTATGGATTCATCTTCCAACAAAAAAAACGCCAACCTCGACCTCAACCACGTTTTACATGACCACGACCTATACGACATCTGGAGATGACAACAATAAAGCAAAAAACAGGCCACCAAAAATGACACAAATTACCGGTGTCATTAGCATATCTCCGACTCACTTGTATAAGTGTGGATACAAAAACCCAAAAACTACATACTAAACAATATGGTAGTGTGACAAGAACACCCCTACCTAAAAAAGCAGGTTACTAGATGATCCACGCGGAGTAATATGAATTCAAAAGAATTTTTAACAATACTTTATTTGATCACATAGATCATAGGGAGGTTAAACATAAGCACGGTGTACATATGAAAAAAATAAAAATCATGTTAAAAAACACTTAGCGTCTTCAATTTAGGGTCATCTTAGCAAATAGAGCACCATATAAGGCAGAGTTGTATAATGATGCGATAGTTATCCTGGATTTCCGTGGGTTTCCCACTTAAATTCGAGTAAACCATGTGTTCAACAGATGTGTTCCCCATATGTGTCAGGGACCTCCTGGAATGTAAGAGCTGGAACACAAAAATACATATTGTATGTATAGGAATATGAAAACCAATTCACATCCAAAAATCACCAGGCCTCCCTCCACATTAGTCAATGGATACTACTATTACCTTCTCAATAATGAGACTATCATGCCCGCTTCTCAAATGTAGGGACTTCCTGGATAGCCACCCCAAGTAAAACAAGGTCCACAGTACCAAATGATTCTGAGGATATATATAGAGAGAAAAATGATAAATATATAGATCATAGGTAGAGATGAGCGAAGTATTCAAAAATTCGATTCGACTGATTCGGCGAATTCGTGGACAATATTTCGATTCGAGTCGAATATATTCGCTGTGAATTTAACTTAAAAAAAGGGTGTTTCTAGGCTTCAGAGAGACTTAATATTAGTGCAGAACACTGTACCTTTAATTTAAATGCCCTTGGAGTCTGCTGGGGAAGAGAAATAATACTGTCAGTCAGTATGACATGCAGATGAGTGCCGTCGATCTTAGAATCACCGCACACTTCACTCATTTGGCCAGTCACGGGGCCAAAACCAGTGTTTGGAGCCACAGTGTGGCGGTGGAGGCAGCAGCAATGGGAGGCCATACAGCAACCTATGACAAAATGGAAACCAGCAGGAGTGTGAGGAGACCTCAAAGTGGCACATGGCAGAGTGGGAGCAATGGGAGGCCGTACAGGGACCCATGTCACACTGTGGACCCAGCAGCAGCGTGACCAGGCGGTACGGAGGCCCATGGCAGATTACAGGCCTGGCAGCAGCTATGGGAGGCCCGTAATCTGCCAGCACCCTATGTCAAAAAATTCAACACCACCAGCAGTGTGAGGTACAGGGACCCATGACAGACTCTGGACTTGGCAGCAGCATGAGGAGGCGGTATATAGGGGCCCATGGCAGATTAGGGGCCTGGCAGCAGCTATGGGAGGCCCGTAATCTGCCAGTACCCTATGTCAAAAAATTCAACACACCAGCAGTGTGTGAGGAGACCTGAAAGTGGCACATGGCAGAGTGTGGCGATGGAGACAGCAGCAATGGGAGGCCGTACAGGGACCCATGAGAGACTCTGGACTTGGCAGCAGCATGAGGAGGCGGTATATAGGGGCCTATGGCAGATTAGGGGCCTGGCAGCAGCTATGGGAGGCCCGTAATCTGCCAGCACCCTATGTCAAAAAATTCAACACACCAGCAGTGTGAGGAGACCTGAAAGTGGCACATGGCAGAGTGTGGCGATGGAGACAGCAGCAATGGGAGGCCGTACAGGGACCCATGACAGACTCTGGACTTGGCAGCAGCATGAGGAGGCGGGTATAGGGGCCCATGGCAGATTAGGGGCCTGGCAGCAGCTATGGGAGGCCAGTAATCTGCCAGCACCCTATGACAAAAAATGGAACACACCAGCAGTGTGAGGAGACCTGAAAGTGGCACATGTTTGGGGCATGATTCATGGCGGATTTAGTCAGTTGTGTCAGGAACTGGTGGTTTGAAATCCAGACTAATCCACGCCTGATTCATTTTCACAAACGTGAGTCTCTCCACACTTTGGGTGGACAGTCGTGTCCTCCGCGGAGGAGTTGCAATACTTCCTGCCGCACTAAACACGCGCTCAGATGCCACGCTACTGGCCGGGCATGACAGCCTTTCAAGGGCAAATTCATCTAGTTGGGGCCAAAGGTCAAGTTTCGTTGCACAGTAGTCAAGGGGATTGTCTACCTCGGTTGGCAGGGTGCTGTCCAAGTAGGCCTAAGCCTGTTGTTTGAGGTCCTGCTCCAGGTCCACCTGATGCTGCTGCTGCTGCTGCTGCGGCTGGTTATTAGTTTCCTCACTGCGCTGGTGAAGAAAGCTACTCATCATCGACTGCAGACTGAGGCAGCTGCTGCTGGTGGAGCTGCCACTGCTCCTACCACCCCCACCCCTCCCCTGCTGCCATGGCAGCGTAACGCGAGCGCAGAAGGGCCCACAGTGTCTGAGGATGGGACGGTGGCGCAGACAGGCAGAGACCAGCTGACTACATAGGTGGTTTTTATAGTACGTTATTTTGGCCTCCCTCTCAGCAGGTGTGAAAAAGGCCACCATTTTGGAACGGTAGCGAGGGTCCAACAAGGTGGACAGCCAAAAGTCATCCCTCTGTCTGATGGTTATTATTCGGCTGTCGCTACGCAAGCAAGCGAGCATGCTATGGGCCATTTGTGCCAAGGAATGCGAGGGACTCCCTGCCTCCATCTCCACAGCATACTGCCACGGTGCGTCTGGGTCCTCTGTCTCCTCTTCCTCCTCCTCTACCAGATGCTCCTGCTCCTCCACTCCTGTCCGCTGAGTGGAAAAACCACCCATTTCACTCAATAATTCCTGAGCACCAATGTCCTCCTCTACCTCCTCCTCTCTTCCTGTCCTGCCCCCACATGGGTCATGTGGCGTTGAGATCTGTGCGCCACGTCTACCGCACCCTGACCAGCCATTATTAACAGCATTTGTTCCAGGACGTGCAACAGAGGAATGACGTCGTTCATCCCATAGTCCTGCCGACTCACGAATAGCGTGGCCTCCTCAAAGGGCCTGAGCAAGCGCAGGTGTCACGCATGAGCTGCCAATGGTTGACATCTAAGTTACACAGGGAGTACCTTTATCCGCTTTTAACATCAGGAAATCTGTGATGGCCTTTTGCTGTTCGTAAAGGCGGTCTAACATATGTAGGGTTGAATTCCACCTTGTTGCAACGTCACAGCATGAGGAGTCGGTACGGGGGCCCATGGCAGATTACGGGCCTGGCAGCAGCAATGGGAGGCCCGTAATCTGCCAGCACCCTATGTCAAAAAATTCAACACACCAGCAGTGTGTGAGGAGACCTGAAAGTGGCACATGGCAGAGTGTGGCGATGGAGACAGCAGCAATGGGAGGCCGTACAGGGACCCATGAGAGACTCTGGACCTGGCAGCAGCAGCATGAGGAGGCGGTATAGGGGCCCATGGCAGATTAGGGGCCTGGCAGCAGCTATGGGAGGCCCGTAATCTGCCAGCACCCTATGTCAAAAAATTCAACACACCAGCAGTGTGTGAGGAGACCTGAAAGTGGCACATGGAGAGTGTGGCGATGGAGACAGCAGCAATGGGAGGCCGTACAGGGACCCATGAGAGACTCTGGACCTGGCAGCAGCATGAGGAGGCGGTATATAGGGGCCTATGGCAGATTAGGGGCCTGGCAGCAGCTATGGGAGGCCCGTAATCTGCCAGCACCCTATGTCAAAAAATTGGACACACCAGCAGTGTGAGGAGACCTGAAAGTGGCACATGGCATGAGAGACTGTGGACCTGGCAGCAGCATGAGGAGGCGGTATAGGGGCCCATGGCAGATTAGGGGCCTGGCAGCAGCTATGGGAGGCCCGTAATCTGCCAGCACCCTATGTCAAAAAATTCAACACACCAGCAGTGTGTGAGGAGAGACCTGAAAGTGGCACATGGCAGAGTGTGGCGATGGAGACAGCAGCAAATGGGGGAGGCCGTACAGGGACCCATGACAGACTCTGGACCTGGCAGCAGCATGAGGAGGCGGTATAGGGGCCCATGGCAGATTAGGGGCCTGGCAGCAGCAATGGGAGGCCCGTAATCTGCCAGCACCCTATGTCAAAAAATTCAACACACCAGCAGTGTGTGAGGAGACCTGAAAGTGGCACATGGCAGAGTGTGGCGATGGAGACAGCAGCAATGGGAGGCCGTACAGGGACCCATGAGAGACTCTGGACCTGGCAGCAGCATGAGGAGGCGGTATATAGGGGCCTATGGCAGATTAGGGGCCTGGCAGCAGCTATGGGAGGCCCGTAATCTGCCAGCACCCTATGTCAAAAAAATCAACACACCAGCAGTGTGTGAGGAGACCTGAAAGTGGCACATGGCAGAGTGTGGCGATGGAAACAGCAGCAATGGGAGGCCGTACAGGGACCCATGAGAGACTCTGGACCTGGCAGCAGCATGAGGAGGCGGTATATAGGGGCCTATGGCAGATTAGGGGCCTGGCAGCAGCTATGGGAGGCCCGTAATCTGCCAGCACCCTATGTCAAAAAATTCAACACACCAGCAGTGTGTGAGGAGACCTGAAAGTGGCACATGGCAGAGTGTGGCGATGGAGACAGCAGCAATGGGAGGCCGTACAGGGACCCATGACAGACTCTGGACTTGGCAGCAGCATGAGGAGGCGGTATATAGGGGCCCATGGCAGATTAGGGGCCTGGCAGCAGCTATGGGAGGCCCGTAATCTGCCAGTACCCTATGTCAAAAAATTCAACACACACACCAGCAGTGTGTGAGGAGACCTGAAAGTGGCACATGGCAGAGTGTGGCGATGGAGACAGCAGCAATGGGAGGCCGTACAGGGACCCATGACAGACTCTGGACTTGGCAGCAGCATGAGGAGGCGGTATATAGGGGCCCATGGCAGATTAGGGGCCTGGCAGCAGCTATGGGAGGCCCGTAATCTGCCAGCACCCTATGTCAAAAAATTCAACACACCAGCAGTGTGTGAGGAGACCTGAAAGTGGCACATGGCAGAGTGTGGCGATGGAGACAGCAGCAATGGGAGGCCGTACAGGGACCCATGAGAGACTCTGGACCTGGCAGCAGCATGAGGAGGCGGTATATAGGGGCCTATGGCAGATTAGGGGCCTGGCAGCAGCTGTGGGAGGCCCGTAATCTGCCAGCACCCTATGTCAAAAAATTCAACACACCAGCAGTGTGAGGAGACCTGAAAGTGGCACATGTTTGGGGCATGATTCATGGCGGATTTAGTCAGTTGTGTCAGGAACTGGTGGTTTGAAATCCGACTAATCCACGCCTGATTCATTTTCACAAACGTGAGTCTCTCCACACTTTGGGTGGACAGTCGTGTCCTCCGCGGAGTTGCAATACCTCCTGCCGCACTAAACACGCGCTCCGATGCCACGCTACTGGCCGGGCATGACAGCCTTTCAAGGGCAAATTCAGCTAGTTGGGGCCAAAGGTCAAGTTTCGTTGCCCAGTAGTCAAGGGGATTGTCTACCTCGGTTGGCAGGGTGCTGTCCAAGTAGGCCCAAGCCTGTTGTTTGAGGTCCTGCTCCAGGTCCACCTGATGCTGCTGCTGCTGCGGCTGGTTAGTAGTTTCCTCACTGCGCTGGTGAAGAAAGCTACTCATCATCGACTGCAGACTGAGGCAGCCGCTGCTGGTGGAGCTGCCACTGCTCCTACCACCCCACCCCTCCCCTGCTGCCATGGCAGCGGAACGCGAGCGCACAGGGCCCACAGTGTCTGAGGATGGAAGTTGGCGCAGAAAGGCAGAGACCAACTGACTACATAGGTGGTTTTTATAGTACGTTATTTTGGCCTCCCTCTCAGCAGGTGTGAAAAAGGCCACCATTTTTGAACGGTAGCGAGGGTCCAACAAGGTGGACAGCCAAAAGTCATCCCTCTGTCTGATGGTTATTATTCGGCTGTCGCTACGCAAGCAACCGAGCATGCTATGGGCCATTTGTGCCAAGGAATGCAAAGGACTCCCTGCCTCCATCTCCACAGCATACTGCCACGGTGCATCTGGGTCCTCTGTCTCCTCCTCCTCCTCTACCAGATGCTCCTGCTCCTCCACTCCTGTCCGCTGAGTGGAAAAACCACCCATTTCACTCAATAATTCCTGAGCACCAATGTCCTCCTCTACCTCCTCCTCTTCTTCCTGTCCTGCCCCCACAGGGGTCATGTGGCGTTGAGATCTGTGCGCCACGTCTACCGCACCCTGACCAGCCATTGTTAACAGCAGCATTTGTTCCAGGACGTACAACAGAGGAATGACGTCGTTCATCCCATAGTCCTGCCGACTCACGAATAGCGTGGCCTCCTCAAAGGGCCTGAGCAAGCGGCAGGTGTCACGCATGAGCTGCCAATGGCTGACATCTAAGTTACACAGGGGAGTACCTTTATCCGCTTGTAACATCAGGAAATCGGTGATGGCCTTTCGCTGTTCGTAAAGGCGGTCTAACATATGTAGGGTTGAATTCCACCTTGTTGCAACGTCGCAGATCAGGCGATGCTGTGGAATTCCGTTCTGCCGCTGCAGCTCAAGGAGGGTGTGCTTTGCGGTGTAGGAATGGTTGAAATGCATGCAAAGTTTACGTGACATTTTAAGGATGTCTTGCAGTGGGATGGTGGATTTTAGGAACCGCTTGACAACCAGATTGAACACGTGAGCCATGCATGGCGCATGGCACAACCTTCCTTGACGCAGAGCAGACACCATGTTCTTTCCGTTGTCGGTCAACATGGTTCCGATTTTCAGTTTGCGCGGAGACAGCCATCTGTCGATTTCTCTGTTCATTACACTCAGAAGTTCCTCCCCTGTGTGACTACGTTCGCCAAGGCATACCAGGAGCAGCACAGCGTGACACCGTTGCGCCCTGCACATGTGATATGCCGGTCGGGTAATGGGACTTGGCACGGGGGTGGCGGCTGAGGACACGGCGGAAGAAGAGGTGGTAGAGGCGGACATCTTTGCTGGACCAAGGACGTGCAAACGTGGAGGCAAAAGCGGCGTGACCTGTCCAAGTTGCTGGTGCGGCTGTGACGGCACCACGTTCACCCAGTGGGCCGTAAATGACATGTACTGTCCCTGACCGTAGTTACAGCTCCACACGTCGGCGCTGCCGTGCACTTTGGCAGAGACCGACATGCTCAAAGACTGGTTTTCCCAGGCCACCGAATGGCGACGCTGCATATGCTGACGCAACGCTGTAGTCCCAACATGGGCCCCCTGGCCACGCTTGACTTTCTGCCCACATAGTCGACATACGGCTACGTTTACTTCCTCGGGCGGCTTGACGAAAAATTGCCACACCGCCGAGTTGGAAACTTTGCCCCCGCTACTCCTCACTGGCTGACTGCTACTTCCTCCGTGCACACCGGCACCACTACTGGCCGTGGTGGTAGGCTGCAGTGGAGCTGGTGCTCTACTCCGTGGCCGTTTGCCTCCACTGACACTGCTGCGACCCCGCTGCCTCCTGGGCAACCCACCGACTGTTTTGCTCGCTGCCAAGCTGGCACCCTCTTCTCCTGATGATGCGGAAGAAATAGCCTGATGACGACGAGGCTGCCAAGTGCGATCAGCCTCATCATCATCAATTAGGGTCTCCGCCTCACTACTAGCCCCCTCGGCTGCGTGTGGGTCAGGAGACAGACCTGTCTCTAGACCGGCTATCGAGCCACTCTCCTCGCCAGTACTTCTTCGCCTGGCTGCTAAAGAGGCGGATGTCTCCCCCCGTTCCTGACCGCCCTCTGTTAGCTCTTCCTCACTGTACAGTGGGGCTGAGCCCACAGCATGCGATACTTCGCTTGGTGAGGGAACACCAAAGGACAGGGGCAGGTAGAGGACACGTGATTTCAGTGGGCTTGCTCCCGGGCCATGCCAACTAACGGTTGTGTCTGACGTACCCACCGACCGTTGGCTGTAGGTGTCAGAGGTGACCTGGGAAGAGGAAGACGACCGAGCCAACCAATTGATGACGGCAGGGTTGTCGGTGGAGACACGACCGCTGGATGACACTGGGAGCACTGGCCTTTGGCTGTGACTAGTGCTGCCTCGACCCCTTCCTCTGCTCCCACGTCTGCTCGCTCCTAAAACATGGCCTCCTCTGACACTCCTCTGCGTGTTGTCTGACATACTCTTTAATTCAACGATTCTGTGTCCCTGAGTAACGATTCTGTGTCCCTGAGTAACAGTTCTGTGTCCCTCAGTAACAATTCTGTGTCCCTCAGTAACAATTCTGTGTCTGTCCCTGAGTAACAATTCTGTGTCCCTGAGTAACAATTCTGTGTCCCTGAGTAACAATTCTGTGTCCCTCAGTAACAATTCTGTGTCCCTCAGTAACAATTCTGTGTCTGTCCCTGAGTAACAATTCTGTGTCCCTCAGTAACAATTCTGTGTCCCTCAGTAACAATTCTGTGTCCCTCAGTAACAATTCTGTGTCTGTCCCTGAGTAACAGTTCTGTGTCCCTGAGTAACAATTCTGTGTCCCTGAGTAACAATTCTGTGTCCCTCAGTAACAATTCTGTGTCCCTCAGTAACAATTCTGTGTCTGTCCCTGAGTAACAATTCTGTGTCCCTCAGTAACAGTTCTGTGTCCCTCAGTAACAAATTCTGTGTCCCTCAGTAACAATTCTGTGTCCCTCAGTAACAATTCTGTGTCTGTCCCTCAGTAACAATTCTGTGTCCCTCAGTAACAATTCTGTGTCCCTCAGTAACAATTCTGTGTCTGTCCCTGTCCCTGAGTAATAATTCTGTGTCCCTGAGTAACAGTTCTGTGTCCCTGAGTAACAATTCTGTGTCCCTGAGTAACAATTCTGTGTCCCTGAGTAACAATTCTGTGTCCCTGAGTAACAATTCTGTGTCCCTCAGTAACAATTCTGTGTCCTTCAGTAACAATTCTGTGTCCCTCAGTAACAATTCTGTGTCTGTCCCTGAGTAACAATTCTGTGTCCCTGAGTAACAGTTCTGTGTCCCTGAGTAACAATTCTGTGTCCCTGAGTAATAGTTCTGTGTCCCTGAGTAACAATTCTGTGTCCCTGAGTAACAATTCTGTGTCCCTCAGTAACAATTCTGTGTCCCTGAGTAACAATTCTGTTTCCCTGAGTAACAATTCTGTGTCCCTCAGTAACAATTCTGTGTCTGTCCCTAGTAACAATTCTGTGTCCCTCAGTAACAATTCTGTGTCCCTCAGTAACAATTCTGTGTCCCTCAGTAACAATT